TTTTTTTTTTTTTTTTTTTTTGCGAATACTCCCTTCACGCGTCGTCACGTAGCCTCGCGTCTTCTCTCCCCCATCTCGCGCTTCATTCGAAGCTTGTGATGAAAGAAACGCATAGATCTGTTGGTAGGCTCCATGGAGACCGTGCCTCGATCACGACAATCGAATCTCTCGAACGGTTCGTCGCTCGAAATTGCGTTCGTATATAACAATCCGGCGTGTGCGTGCCCGATGCCAAATCACTCGTTGATAATGACTCGTTGAGAGAAACGTTGTTACACGTTTATTCTCTTCGAGATTGAATTACCGTGAAACCAGGCACAGCTCCGGATTCGACCGATGGCTTCTCTTCTCGATTACGAGAGAATCACTTGTAATCGACTTGTAAATCGACTTTACAAATGACGCGTGATCCACGGTATAAAAGGATCGTTCGATCTAGCTACCATTTCAATTCACCAGACTGCAGGTTTGCGAAGAATTTTAAAGCACGGTTTTGGAATTAATGACACGAAAAAATATATAAATTTAGTGAATAGAATATTCTTGTTCTTTCAATTCAATCCATTCAATATCCATTCAATATGGATTAACCTCAATTCACGAAAGACTCGGTCGAATTTATTTATCGTAAATTGTCGAGAGTTTATTTTAAATAATTATAGATTTTAATTTACGAAATTGATAAGAGTGGCTTTTCAGCCACTCGTTTTTCGAATAAACCGACAAAATTATATTATAATTGTGTAAAAAGCTATATATGATTCGCAATAAGATTCACTGCTATCCACTCGGAACACAAAGGTCCAATTTTATTCTCAGATATACGAATAAATTGCATAAAATCCGCAGTCTGTAAGTACGTAGATATTCCAAAATATTCAAAAGCATTTAAATATTCTCGTTCTGCCATTGCGTCTACATTTTCTTTAAAAACTGTGACCTTAATCTACAAAGTTTGTATTCTCTCATTTTTTTTCTATTATTTTAGCTGTAATAAACCTCGTAAATGAGGTTTCTAAAGCTGAAATAAAACAAAAAAAAAAAAGAAAAATACTTTTTATTTTGTTTAAAATATATGGAAAAATAAAATCGACGATGTTTATTCAATGCAAAAGAGACCTCGGAAATAGTGTTTTTGAATACTTTCGAATGCTCAAATGCAGTTTGATCGAAAAACTACTCCGCCAGGCAGTAGTTGTAATAACGAAGAGAGTTAAAGAAAGAGAAATAGAGAAAGAGAGAGAGAGAGAGAGTGAAATTGAAAGAGAGGCCATCGTCGCGAGCCCGTCGTGAGGGACAGGACTTACACCATTTAACCGTGGTATCTCGATGCTCGGAATGTAGGTGGTCTCCTCGTGGCCGGTCGAGCAATATCGCGTTCTCCTCCTGGTGGCACGCGGGCTGCAACGGTCGCAGGGCACCGCGGCGTCGGAATTGCGCGCCTTCGCGGCTGGCCTCTGCCGCGAGCCGCACCGCATGGCGAACCGCAATTCCGAGGCCATCTCGGCGCACAGGGACTGCCGTGCCGCGGCGTTTCCGTTCGACGTGTTTTTTTTTTTTGTTTTTTGGTTTTCGTTATTGCCGCCGACGCATGGACAGGGGCCGGCAGAGAACAGGCACAACAATACCAACAAATGATACAGAAAGACGATCATACCACGAGCTCGATACCATGCAATCCCTCTCGCGTGCCAGGCCGCTTTACCTCGCGTGAATTTCCAATCGTGAATCGCTCGCTTTTTCCTATCGCTGATTTCTTTGATCTTATTCATTGATCGAATAGTGATCGAGCCGAACGGTAGTGGATGAGGTGCGCCGTGGAATTGACATTTTATGGAATTTTGCGCCGTGCGAAGTGAAGCGTGAAGTTTGACGTTTTGTAGTTAGCCATTTTTCATCATCGATGGAACTTCTCCGCGGTCTTGTATCTTTTGTTCTTAAGCGAGATTTAGAAAATGATGATATGGTTTTAATCGGAGTTCTTACTGTTGCTTGGGATTCAGATCCGAGTGTCCAATTTTATTTTCTCTAACTTAATATTTGAACGAATATTTCAAGAACGGGCATAAACTCAGACATTTGGATTTCAAAGTCACAATGAATATTTACTGTATTCGCATATCCGTATTAAGATTTGTGTCTAAATTCGGATTTAAGTAATCTAATAAGCGTCCTAGCACTCGGATCTAAATTGAATCAGTGTTCGAATACTCGGATACACGGGTAGTAAAAATTCCAATATTAATTTTGTTGCTCTTCGTTTGGCTACGGATGACACGCGACATGGCTCTCGAATGTGCAGGGTGTGATATTTAGCATGCTTCGTCTGTTTGCGATTGCATCGAACGGATTGACACGAAAACTGTTTGGACGATGTTTAACTCGCTACGTAGAGCGGTATCGTGTTAAGTCAAACAAGTAGAACGGGAACGCGTGTGGTCAGACCTGTCGGCTATGCCGCGGCGTACAATCAAGCAAATGCAACGTGACTTTTTCCGTGCTTTTTCCTTCTAACGAACAAAGTGTCATCGATTGAAACGCTGAAAAATCGAACGATACGAAAGTCGATATATTGTATGACCGTTTTTCGATCGAAATATATTCAAAAAAAAAAAAAAAGAAAAAAAAGAAAAAGAAGAAAAAGGAAAAGAAAGAAAACAAAACTCGATAATGATTTAGAGAGAAAAGAAAGGGTTTAGTGACGATGAGAGCAGCGGCCTTGCACGCGACGAAGAGGAAGATACACTCATGCAGCACATACACGCGAAGCACGAAATCGCACGCAATTATCTCGGTGCTTCGCTCGCTTACCCTGTCCGATTGGGCGTTCTTCTTGGAGTTCCAGCAGAACTCGAGGACCGCGACGAGGATAGCCAGCGCCAGTCCGCAAACCAGCACGACAAAGACGCCACCTGGAAACGGGAGAAACCGGAAGCTCATTATTTTATCGCCGCCGGCTGTCTCTGCTTCTTTTCTGATGTCGCCCGGGCGCGCGTTTCACGGTTAATGTAGCTGCCAGCCCGCCCGGACTCGCCCGTTCCCCTAGCATCTGTCCGCCCATCTATCACCCTCTAACCTCGTCGTTTTCACCCCTCATCGCCCTCTCCGCGCCTGTCTATTTATCTATTTATCTATCCATCTGTCTAGCTTCCCGTCTATACGATCCTGTCGTTATTTACGTCTACGTCTTTTCCCTATCTTTGTTCGCACGAACATCTTTGTCAGTCCGTTCTACCCTCTTTTCGACGCCAGCTTGGAACTTTCGTGAGAAGAAAAAGATTCATCCTAAGAAAGGGAGAGAGAGAGAAGAGGTTTTTTTAAATCGTAAACTCGCACGAGTAACACGAGAGGTACCTAATTTGAGGGAAGTTCTTCTTGAAATTTAACGAAAAATGTTGAGAGTCGTGAAGGTTATATTTGGTTAGGAAGTAAAAGCACAGTATCGATACTTACAAATCAATTTTTCATCGTTATTTTTATTATTCACAAAGAACTCTATTCGTGCAATTTGTTTCTCAGTGTTGTACAATCTTGCATTGCGTGTACAAGTAAAATAATATTCAATTCAAATTTTTTTGTTCTCTTTTATATTCTTCAAAAATAATCGGGAAGTAAATTTGAGGTATAAATTTTAATTAAATTACACTACTTTCTGGCGAATAAGACAGAATTTTTAGACGATTCTCCTTCATTTGTTTCATATCCAGTTTGTTTGAACGTTTCATTATTTGATAAATTTTCACAGCGAAAGATCTTTTTTTCGAATTACCCGCAAATTTATCTTTCTATTTCTCTGATGATCATGCTCTTTTCTTAGATTAACTCACACTTCGTATTTTTATACAAACTTCCCCAACGAGGCAACGAATTCATCGTATTATTTTCTTCAACAATGCTCCGTGATTAGTCATCGGCCCGAAAACGTCACGGTTTTTAACAGGCTTGCTCTATTTGCATACAGCATGCCAACAGTATGATTTAAACGACATTTCGCCGGAAGTAACAAAGTTTCTAGCGTGGTCTTCTATTTTCACGCCAGTTCCTCATCTCGTTGCGACTAATTTCACGGTAAGTCGAGGAACAACGCCAACATCTCAGCACCTGGATATTACACATTCGCGTTTCACGTTGATAATTTCTGCATTCGTGGTCGACCAGGTCGAAAACCGTTTGAATTTTGACATAGACGCTTTCCGCCGGACGAAGAAACTGAAACGCAATTTCATGCCGTGCAATTAGTGGAATAGGGCATTTATATTTAGCCAGTCACTCCGTTTAGTGGTTCTGATTACTTTGAATAATTTTGCCCACAGTTTAATTATTATTCCTTGTCCGTTTTATAATTTACCATTGCACAAAGGAATCTTTAGTCGCATTATAAATCTTTGACGATGAATGTGACCGCAAAAATCTACAATTCTTTTTAATTCTCTTTTTATTTATTTCAGTAATGATTTTTAATTTATTAAAATGTTCTAAACAAATATAGACGTTACGTATTGACGAATGCACTTGCATCATTTTTCTAGCAATCTTTAGATATATTACGTGTTTAATAAGAGCAGTGCAATCTTTAGATATATTACGTGATTTATGGGAAATATAAAATTGCAAAAATGTATACGATTTACAAATGACATTTGAAAAATTTACGAAATGTATGTAATATAAAAGAAATCTTCAGAATTGGTGTATGAGCATTAGTAACTTATTATTTTGCCACATTATAACAGTGATCTGTTCTCAAGTATATTTGATATTTATTCACTGCTCTTATTAAACACGTAATTCTTTCAAAAATGTTACATTTTCCAACCATTTATCTTCTTAATTTTCTTTCGTTCGTCACTGTGCGTAAATTACGAGAATATACAAAATATCTATTACAATGTATCCAGAAAATAAATTCTTATCCGGGTTTCACAAAAATCAACTCATTTGTGTGAACGTTCGCAACCTACGTATAAATGTAAAACTCATCAAACGTTTCGAAAGAGAAAGGAAAGAGTCAAAGTCAAAGTCAAAGTACAACTTAAAATTCCTCCAAACGAAGCTCGTAATTCGACGCTCCTCCGTCTCTCCCTTTCTTCCCTCGTTCCCACAAATAATCGACCTGTTTAGTGGAAAAGCGATTCGCAGCGGTTCGACTGAAATTTCTGCGAAAGTTGTTTCATCCTTCTTTCATCCTTGGTACGTTTACGCTGCTGGCAAAGTGGCTACTTATCTAAGTTAGAGGCTAGTCAACGACAGAGGGCTAGACGAGAAAAAGGAGAGAAAGAATGGCAGAGATTCTCGACTGGACGAGAGAGAGAGAAAAGGAAAGAAAATATAGAAGGATACAAGGGACTAGCGAGGGAAGAAAGGATAGAAAGGGAGAACTTGTTGTGACTTCCATAAAATCCGGAAAGGATTCTACGGGACGTCCAAGAAAAATTCCCGGCGAACTTCTCGCGAGATTTCCCCGAGCTTGAAAGCATTCCACGACCTCAACTGCACCACCTTTGCCCTTTTACTTTCTTTGTCCGCGTTCATTGTGTGAAGTGTCCGCGATTAATGAACTGAATTTTCGCATCAAAAGACGTGCGTTTCTTCACTCTCTCCTCTATGTAAATAGAAATAAATAGTCAGGGTTCTCTCGCTTTTAAATTACAATGCAATGAACAGCGTAATTGATTATATATGATTTCTCACGTCTGTCAACATTTCACATCCTTCACGATTTTCTTGGATAAACATTAGTTAGCGTAATTTGTTACCTTGTAAGATGTAAAGAATGTTGTGTATAATTCTTCAGCTTAAGTTCAAAATTTCATATTTTATTTTATTTTGTTTTATTTTATTTTATTTTATTTTCCAAATCGATATCACAATTCATATTATGACGGTGACTCGATATTATGAAACAAGGGGCTAATTATCCAAAATGTTTATTATTTTGTTCATTCTATTAGGCAAGAATTTACGAAACCTACAACCACCGATGCAGTTACGCTCTTCGAATTTTGCACACGCGTTTCGGTAATCTGGAAGTGATGTGTTATATAACTGTACTATAGCCGATTGAAATCCATCCGTAGTTGATTACGTAACCTGACATGCTCGCCGGAAGCCCACAAATGAAGTTAGTTATACAGTGCACTGAATGCAGAAACGATCGGAACGAACCTAATGATTTCGACGCTACTGTTTACGTGCGCGTCATCGACCTCATTTACGGCCGTAAATTACACGGTGTAATTATGGGCGCGATCTAGATCGTACTCAATCAATCAAATTTCCAGGAAAATTCTCCACCACATCTTCTCTCCTGATCTGTATATTATATCGTACGCTTCGATTCCCCGATACGATCGTTCTTGCGATTATTATGGAAAAAACATTGTTATGATTGT